TCGAGCTTTCACGAGACATCACGGAGACATTTCTCCGTTATGGGAACGATATTCAATCCCGCCGTGAGAGAGGCTACAAGCAGCCTGTACAAGTCATATACTCAGCGAAGATAGAACACACAATTCCCACAACCAATAGCGACGCTTGCTAGGCGGGCTCGCAGCTGATAGTTGGAGACAAGCCAATGAGCGTCTAAAGCCCAGGTATACTAAATTTGCATATCTGGTCAGTGATAATGTATGCTGCGCTGAGAAACAGGGCAGAAGCAACAACAACCACAGTATTGTGAGGGGGGCTGCACAGAGATAACTGTGTTAAGCAGCAGTATAACACATAACATGATGATCATATACCAATCGAATTAGACATTGAATAGCAGGAGCTGTACTGAGTACAGGGCAGACAACAGCAACAATAGCATATTGGGCTGCACAGAGTAATTACTGTGTGAGACAGCAAACACACATGAATAGAGGTAGCATAAACGTGTATCAGTCACTCACCGACAGCACTTGGGAGGCTAAGGACTGAGCATCCAGCTTGTAAAACCTGGCGAAGGTATTCTGAGAAGACCAGCCGGCTGCAAAGCATATATCCTGAATAGACATACCTCTCGACCACGCCCAGGAGGTGGCGATAGCCCTTGTTGAGTGGGCCCTAATGTGCAAAGGGCATTCCAAACCTTGGCTCGTATAAGCAGCCATGGTAGCGTCCACAATCCAGTGGGAAAGTCTCTGTTTTGACACGGCCCAGCCCTTCGCACAACCACCGTAGCACACGAAATGCTGGTCAGATTGCCGAAAGTTGGCCGAACGGTCAATGTAAATCCTCAAAGCCCTGACGGGGCACACCGAAATCTGAGCGTCCGCATCACGCGAGGTTGGTGACTCAGAAGACAGGGCAGACAGCGAAACAGTCTGCGCTCTGAAGGGGGTAGATAGTGATTTAGGCGCGTAGCTCGGTCTCAGCTGGAGAGTAACGCTGCAGTCACTGGGTCCGAAGCGAATACAGTCACTGTCCACAGAAAACGCATGTAAATCC